GATGGAAAGTATATTCTACAATAAATATTATTAAATGTATGAAAATTGTGTTATATTTCAATTCAAAAACGGACAGAACTTTCCGGTAGACCTAATACATGTGTATATGACATATCTTAAGGGGGGAGACTTGTGTGAAGCAAGAGGTGATATGTATGTACTTGGAAATTTTTTTATAATATAAGACCGTGATGAAATTTATCGCCACTCTGCACATATATTATTTAACATTCCAAGATACAAAATGTTCTTTTTTCGTTACATTTTATCGATTTTTTTACTCCTCATGGACCTCTCCGTCGACGGCGCGCAGTCTAACACTGTTTTCCTTTGATCAATCCCTTTGAAAAATCAAATATTTTCTTCGTAATACTATTACGCGACGTATGAACTAAATTGCTCCTTAAAACAAGCAAAACTGTCGAAGATACGCGGCTCCGAACACACAAAAATGATTTTTGCCATTTTCTATCTGAATTATGCAATAAACATAGTTTCAATAATTATTATTATGAAGGATGTTAGTTCATACGACGCGTAATACTATTACGAACAAAATGTCATTTGATTTTCCGTTCTAAATCAAAGGAAAAAAGATGCTAGACTGCGCGCCCTCGACGGAGAGATCCATATGGAATAACGTACTATTTTTGTTAAAAGTCAATAAAATGTAAGCAAAAAGAAAATGTCTTGAATCTTGAAATATTAAAGAATATATGTGCCAAGTGGCGATAAATTACATCAAGGTCTTATGTTATAAAAAAATTGCCAAATATTATCTCTCGTTGGAACGCTTTGCACGAGCCTCCCCCCTTAACCTACATAACTTACACTGCATTGCACATTATTACGGGTTTCACTTATCCTACTTATATCTATTCTACCCCAACCTCTCTCTATTCTCTTTAGTTTTCTACCTTCTTTATTCTTTATTTTCGCAATCCAATTTACCCCTTCTACGATATCCTCCTCATCCAGGAACCTCTCCAGACTCATATATCCATCAACTAACTGCCTGCAGTCTCTCCAATGCACTGAGATCCCGCTGCATTCCTCGCAGAAAGGACAGCTCACTGCAATATAGGGTACGAAACTAATGTTCGCCGTATGGATTCGATTGGACCCTGAGTTCGGTGTACAGTCGGTTGCCAGACGGTGCGCCGTGCGAGGGTTAATAATCGTAAGACCGGGCATCTGAAATGGATCATCTCTCGGCCCCCGGTACTCTGCACGTTAACGCGTTCGTCCCGCTACGCGATTCTCATTGTTTCGCCGGAACAATCGCGCCCGCCCGAAATAGCAGAGCCAGTCAAGGTGTTCATTTCTCTCTTTCGTGCACGCGTGTCATCTCTACACGCGGGCCGTTCCACGCGGGCGGCTCCTTTGAGCCGGTGCCTTAAAAAAAATGGCCGTACGCGTTGCTGTCGCGTGAAACGAGCCGAATTAACCGCGGCTCGCCATGTCCCGCCGCAGACAACCCGAAAGACCGGCTACCAAAATATTTTATGGTGTGCACTCTCACCGCCGACGCCGGATTTAGGATGAAGGTCGCGATGGAAACGGGAGACTTGGGGGACTCTGCTGGATTAGAATTGTGGAAGGCGCATCTTTTTTTTTCCAGATGCCGATCATCTCGTTGAACGGAGCGGCAGTTTAACCCGCTGCCTAAGAATCATCTCGAATCATTTGAGGTGTACAAAATGGCACCAGAAAGTTTCCGTGCGCTAGGTTTCCGGTGTTCGACGAAATGGCGGTATTTGACCTAACTTCGGAACAAAGAGTCGTGTAACGATAAATCTGGGACGCGTTTCAAAGCTTCATGCTCCTGTTCTTGCACCGTTCCTTTTTTGCCGTCATTAATCCAGATGTTAGTCACGGCTGTTAAATCGAAATAAAATTCTACCCTTCTGTTATCGATATTTCAATGTTAACCCTCGCGTTAACCCTTCCGTTAACAGGGTCTCTAGAGGCCTTCGTATCGACAGTGACGAACCTGCATCTGTTAGTAGTGGAATAGGGGTGGGGATCTCGAGTTCAAGCGACCGCAAGCGTGCATTAAGTGAAATATCGGTGTGGGTCGGGAAAGACCCCGTTACCGAAGAGCGAATAATCGTACTCCGAGGCTTAACCTTTTAGGCACGACGCGCCACTATAGTGGCTTCCGCGGATGTCATCTTTCAGAACGACACGCCACTATAGTGGCTTTCGCGGATGTCATCTCTCTGGACGACGCGCCACTATAGTGGCTTGCTCTAGTAGCTCACTCGCTCATCGTTTGAATCAAATAATCGTCTTCATATGCATTGTTTCACACTTCTATTGTCTTCACATCGATTTATAACAGTCTACAGGGTGTCCCAAAAATGTCTCGCAATCCGGAAATGGCGGGTTCCTCGGATCATTTGAAGCAACTTCTTCCTTTACAAAAATGTTCTCCGAGGCACCGTTAACGAGTTATTAACGAGAAACAGTGACCAATGAGAGGCGAGCTCAGCTGGCGCGAGGCGACCAAGGCGTGCAACTAATTATAGTTCACCCGGATATCTTCTTCCGTTCCAAAATATTACAAATTTCAGCTTTAAATCTTAATTTTGCGAGTCGAAAAAATAATACACGCTCTTAAACGATAATATATTACAGGGTATCCCAAAATTATGGTATTTCCGGGAAACGAGAGGTTCCTGAGGTGATTTGAAGCAACTTTTTCCTTAACCTTTTAGGCACGACGCGCCACTATAGTGGCTTCCGCGGATGTCATCTTTCAGAACGACACGCCACTATAGTGGCTTTCGCGGATGTCATCTCTCTGGACGACGCGCCACTATAGTGGCTTGCTCTAGTAGCTCACTCGCTCATCGTTTGAATCAAATAATCGTCTTCATATGCATTGTTTCACACTTCTATTGTCTTCACATCGATTTATAACAGTCTACAGGGTGTCCCAAAAATGTCTCGCAATCCGGAAATGGCGGGTTCCTCGGATCATTTGAAGCAACTTCTTCCTTTACAAAAATGTTCTCCGAGGCACCGTTAACGAGTTATTAACGAAAAACAGTGACCAATAAGAATCGAGTACGGCTGACGCGAGGCGGCACAGCCAACCAGCGCACGAAGCCCAGTTCCGCTCATTGGTTCGATCGCCTCGCGCCAGCTGAGCTCGCCTCTCATTGGTCACTGTTTTTCGTTAATAACTCGTTAACGGTACCTCGGAGAAAATTTTTGTAAAGGAAAAAGTTGCTTCAAATGGCCTAAGGAACCCGCGATTTCCGGATTGCGAGACATTTTTGGGACACCCTGTATATACAGTATCAGACTCTGTACACTACACATCAGACTCAGCCGTCCAGAGAAATAGCCTCGCGCAGAATTCAGCCGTATCTAAAAGGTTAAAGTAAAGCTTGGCGTTTCATAAATACAAAGTATCTCTCTCGCATCAGAATTTATTAGCGACAAACACGTACTAATCAATGCAGCTGTGAAAGAAATCGTAGAACAAAGGGTTAAAATAGCAGCCATTTTCTTCTACCGATAAATACATAACTTACATTTGTGAAAATAACTACAGAGCAACATATAGTAAGATGTATACGTTGAGTTTGTAATAAACAATAATCTTTTAGATATATAGAATAATTATTATAGAATAATTCTTTTAGAAGAATTGAATTTTCCCTCTTATATATTTATCATTAAACCTATCGAGCCGAGAAAATTAACATGTACTGCTTTGTAACAATGAAAAGACTGTATTTATTTAGATACTTTTATTTTGTTTTGACTTACAAAATATACTATACTATACTATACATAACTTACATTTGTGAAAATAACTACAGAGCAACATATAGTAAGTCGTATACGTTGAGTTTGTAATAAACAATAATCTTCTAGAAATATAGAATAATTATTATAAAATAATTCTTTTAGAAGAATTGAATTTTCACTCTTATTTAACATTAAACCTATCGAGCCGAGAAAATTAACGTGTATTGCTTTGTAACAATGAAAAGACTGTATTTATTTAGATACTTTTATTTTGTTTTGGGTTACGAGTAGACCGCGGATCTTTATGCAAAATAAATATCATCTTCATCGATTGCAACGAGCACGAAAGAAACAGAAAATGTTTCCTTTCTTTAATAACAGCGTACAGTTGAAAATAATACGAAAATAACACGAAATTTCGCCTATTCATTTTTCTTATAAATGCATAAAATCCGCAATCTACTTATGAGTCTCTATAATTTCAGCAATTTTTAAGCAACAAATGTAAAGCCGGATATTTTGACCGGCTCATTAGGCTTAGCGTTGATAATTAAACGGTATATAGATGCGGTTTGCGCGCAAAAATGGACAATTTGGGACGAGGAGATACGATTATTCGAGCCTTGCGGCTCGTTTTTATAGCTGTCGATTGTCAATAATTATAAAAACGAGGTGCAATGCTCGAATAATCGTATCTCCTCATCCCAAATTGTCCATTTTCGTGTAAAATCTGACCGTGAATTAGGGAGAAATCACTGTAATTCTTTAATTTGTTCTCGCGAGGCTCGCTTTCGACGAGGCGGGCGTTCATGTGACGCTTTTTATCGAAGTTTCCGGAATCGGGAATTTATAAACAGCGTCCAGGATCGCCGGTGTTCCTGTCGGCTTTCACCATTTCTGCCGGGCCGTCTGACAAGAAAAGTTAATTTCGGACGTGCCTCGGAAGGCACGCCAACCACGCGCGCTAATGAGCCGATGAAAATTCAGTGTAGCTCGGGCACAACGCGTCCTCTGTCCCTTCGAACATTCCAGCGGGCTAGAGATTGTTCAATTTATCCGAGAGAGGGAGAGAGAGAGAGAGAGAGAGAGATCCGCTTGCCTCAACCAGACAAATTTGTCTGTGGATAATCATCGGAGATCGGATTTCCTCGAAGGACATCTCGTCGAGAGTCCGATCTCGTAGACGTTGGGGCGATGATCGCCGATTCTTAATTGCTGTTCGTTTCTCTTTGCAGATCGAAGTTTTTTAGTGGCCAACGCTCACCAGGGACTATGTCACATAATATATTGCTCGGACGGTTTTTGCCGGCTGACGGGCTTCTCGAGGGCGGAAGTGATGCAGAGACCGGCGATCTGCGAGTTCCTTCATGGACCAATGACGTCGCCCCATGCGGTCGCAGCCCTCCGCGACGCCCTCGCCGCCGGCGTCGAAAAGCATTTCGAGATTCTCTACTACAGGAAAGACGGTGAGTCCCTTTATTGCGATTAATTAACCATTTCGATAGCACCTCCGTTACGGCAGATTCTGATGCGGTGCAAGCAGAAAAATCCAAATGGCTTGAATATACGAACGCTCGTAAAATTTCGAGCTACTTAAGAATTTTCGAGTTATGTGTTGGAATAAATCTTCAATTTTTAAGTTATTCAAAAATATTCGAGATGCTCGAATTACTTGAATATTTATGTACAGTGGCGGTCATATACTTAAGACCACTTGGGAAACGATGTAACTCTTTTAAAACGGGACTAAATGAGTTGAATTTCTTTTTTAGATGATAGAGAGATTAGCTTTTTAGACGATAACTATAATACTTTTCTAAATTTGTTATTACTTTGTTTATACTTGGAAAAACTCACGTTTTCAGCTTTTTTATTTGAGTCTATAACGAAAATTTAAAAGATGCGTTTTGTAGATTTTGCTAAGTTATATGTATGCTGAAAATTTTATCAAAATCGGTTAATGCATAGTCAAGATACAAGTATTTAAACGTTTAGAAAACGGTAAAATTCTGGTAATTATTGGTCGAAAGGATAAAAAATCGCAACAGAACTGCGATTATCGATGAAATTTTCACTATGCACCTAAGTTACCGAGATCTATGAAAAGCGTTTTTTTAAACTTTCGTTATAGACTCAAATGAAAAAGTTAAAAACTGAGAGGTTTTTATTCTATTTATCATTCCAAGTAATGAGAGAATTAAGAAAATTAATATAATTATCATGTAATAGGCTACTCTATCTATTATTTAAAAAGAATTCAAGACATTTAGTCCTGTTTTTAAAAGCACAAGTATTTCAGTCGTTCAGATTTTCCAAATAACTCGCATTTTTTCGAACAATTCAACGATTTCGAATAACTCCAGACATTTGAACGATAGATTAAGCTTGCAAGATCGATCGTTGCTAAATTCCAAAATCGAGTATTCGCACAGTTCTAATAGTAGTTCAATCTACTGTATGAACGACCAAATTTTTCACGAAAATTTCAATTGAAATGCACGAAACATCGGACCGTGTTACATACAATTTCCGATGAGTTTCGTCGGTCGCCTATCTGCGCGAAGAGTCCCCTTTTTAGACGCCTTAAAGCGCCAGCATCATGAAAATGGCAACAAAGTGGCAAAAAGAATGGAAGTCAGTGTCGTCGGTGCAGCAACTGCATAGACAATTAAGTCAGTCGATGTCAAATCGGAACGGATAAACAACGTTCGTATTTAGCAAACTCTGTTTAAAATGTTCGACACGAGAGCCTGGCTCGTCGTTGCATACGCGGATTTGACGTTATTATTATTATTAACGCAGTCCGTTGATTGTGCTCCGAAAATGGAGCGGCCCCCGGTTCCGTTCTCGTGCCGGAATCCGACGGTAATTGATTCGGCGACGTTTCCGCGAAGCCTGCCCGAAACCGTGCGATTGAATTTTTGGCTCTTGAGAGAAGGCGAAAAACTGGCAAGATTTCCGCGTAGCGAAGTGTCATGCGAAACGGGAGACCGGACATCCTGAATTCCGATCCGGTGTGTCGGCTGAACCCGTCTTGGCAAGCCCTTTCAGCTTTCTAGGGACATTGTTTCTCGGATCCTCGAGAATAGACAAAGCGATTTGTACCACTGCCAACCGGGCTCTCAGAAGCCCCCGCCATTTTCGTGATTCTTCGTTTCGTTCGGGCGCGGGCGTCGCGAAACATTTATTCCGCGCGATTATCCACTCGGTCGATCGAGGCTCGTAAACATCCGCGAAAACAGAACGGGAACGAGCCTCCCGCGGCCGCTCGCAAAATCCGGCTCGATTCCGGCGAACGGGAAGCTAAAAGGTAGGCGAACAAACGTTTTCACATTTGATTTCTTCGCGTAGAATCGCCGCGTTTTTCGCGGAGCACCGAAACTCGACACTCCGCGCCATCGATGCGAATGATCGGGGCGAAATATCGACGAACCTGTCGAAACGTTGGCAGAATATTCAGGGGAAACAGGTTCCCCGAGTGGCGGCGGGTTTGCGCGGACCAGCTGCGAACTTTCCAGCGGAGGAACTCGCGTCAATTCCGCAAACTTACTGTCATTGTTATTAACCGATTCCACCGGCTGACTTGGTTTCAAACGGCCTGTACGCCGCTGCTATACCTCGGACGACGATTCGGTTCGTTTCTTTTAGAAACTTTTCCCGTTAATAATTCGCGTCGATAATTCCCGTTGTCGCCGACTTTCCTAGAGCCGCCGCGCAAAATTCACCGAATAGAGTATCAAGCGGAGACTAAGTCTCTCTTAAGGGGGAATTCCAGTGTGAAGCGAGTGTGTTTTTTAACTTCGTTAGCGAATTTTTTGCGAACACACTATTATACCTTCTTTTTTAGTCAAATTGACGAGCTGTGCTTGTACGTATTTCAACGACGTTTTAAAATTTTTTGGAACACGAAATAGTGAAAATTAGAGAAACTGCATACTCTCGAACGCTACAGTCGCTTTTATAAAAAGATCGTCTCACGGTGTCCACGATTCCGGCCATTCTCTGAAATAAAAAAAACGTGAAAGTTTCCTAATTAGTATGAATTTAGCTATAGCAAGTACTAGATTAGAAGAAAAAAATTGGTAATTAAGAAAGTGGCGATACTTTGAAATTCGATTATCGATTTTTGCATGTTTTGTTAAACTTTTAAAAACTTTGGTTGCTTCTAATAGTGATTATAGTTGGATTTGTACTAAATGCGTACTTAAAATTTTGAGTCAATTGGTCAAGTGGGTTTCGAGATATCATAGACATCGTTCTGAAAAACATATTTTCGAAAAAATGCCTTTAAAGTTTAGTATATCGATATTGATATAAAGTTGTCGCGTTTTTCAAACAACCATAACTTCGTTAATTTTCGGAGTTCGCATGTAAGGTTCCAAAGATGTATTTTTGAAACTATATCCTTCAAAAGAATATGCAAAAAGGGAAAATTGATTTTTTCAAAAGTGCACACTAGAATATCCTTCGCAAGGCGATGGTGCGGTCAATTTCGACCCTCAGTATTTAAATCGTTCACTCAATTATTTGTTGACAGTTTTTAACAATTAAATAAAACAAATTGCTGTTGCATTAGGACTTTAAACACGCGGATAGCGCACAGTAGTCTGTAAACCCTTTCATCGTGGCCAAAATTGAATTCTTGAAGTTTTACATTTGGAAAACATTTTCGTATGCATTTATCGACAATCCTTCAAAGATTTAAAATTCAAAAAATTAACCATATCGGATAATTATGTATACGGGGACGTCGCTTCAAAGACAACTTTTGGAGATTCAAAGTGAAACCAATTATTCTAAAAACGCATCGATTATTCTAATAGAGAATGAAATAACAGGATTAAATTAATGTTTCAAATGTATTATTGGACGTATTTTCATTATTTAAACAGTTCTTAAGCATTATAAATAATTTAAACTCTGGAAAGGACTTTAATAAAACATCAAGAAGTGTCGGAATTTGTTTCATATGAAAGCTTAGACGATTATTAAGTGTAACAGGCAAAGTGGATCTATTGTCAATTTTTATCAACGACTGCTTCTCTTTGTTTGATAATTTTATCGTCATTCATTACTTTACGAAAAGCGTTGTTGTTGTTTGTCGATCGATTGGCGCACTTAGGCATCGTAGAATAATACTTTTGAAATATTATACAATTTTCAACTAGTTATTTCTTCGGCTTATGGTATATAGACGTTTTGCTACCTTCGAAATTGCACCAAATACTGACGAAAAGCAGAGTAGTTCAGATGGCGTTCTAACAATTCGATTGTTAGCACTAGAACTACCGAGTCTAATGTATATTGTTTTATAACAATTACAAGATCGGATTTATTTATATATTTCCCACGATTTTTATTATAATATGTACTTCAACGAAGAAGTTCGCATAAAAATGTCCAACAAAAACATTTTTATAGCATCGAGAATTGCAAAAGAAAAAATCGGACATCAGTCATTTTGACTGGCTTGGTAGTTCTAGTGTTAAGATGATAGAATGTTGCAGTTTACAGTTTATTCTTGCAACCAGAATTCATATTTTGGAATCTATAGTTCGTTAATCCTCCTGTTCTGTTCGCTTTTAGTATTCACTTGTAATGTCCAGATCTATTTGATTCGATATACAGGGTGTCATGTAACTGGCAGTACAACTGGATAGGGGCTGATTCTACGTCAAAAAATAAGTCCAAGAAGAATAACAAGATTTTTTAATTCAAGGCTCCGTTTTCGAGAAAACTGAGTTGAAAGATGCGTCAAGTTCGTGTGGCTTGTAGAAGTAGAGAAGTAGAATTGGCATGTAGTGACCAGACATGCCATTTAATTCCTATTCAATAATATTACTTTTTCAGCCTACTTTTTCTCGAAATCGGAGCCTTAAATGAAAAAATTTTATTTCGACTTATTTTTTGATGTAGAATCAGTCTCTGTTCTGTTGTACCACCAGTTACATGACATCCTGTATAATACCTTATGTTGAAAGCGATAAAATGATACATGAATAGTTTTGAATTACATCTTTGTAACATCATCGTAAGATATATAGTTTTTTTATGCAAAATAGTTTAACACAGATGTAAATGAGCATAAATATTTATCATTGGAAAATAAATTGGCGAAAATACAAAATTGAACGTAACAATTCTCCTATGTTTGCTTATAAACATAGAGATATATTTGTTACAATTTGATCACGTTATATTGGATTTATTATCGTGCTTCAATCGCCAAAATCTACATTGAGCTCGTTCGACTCCTCTATTTGATGTTATTGGCATTGTGGGATTACTGTTTACTTCTCATATACGTCACACAAAATTTCGAGCTTGCGCCGATCCAGGCATGTGTTGTCTTCAAAGTATGTACGGTGTAATAAGATACTTTTGTAATTCTTTGACAAATAATCGTCTTTTTGTCAGGGCTGGGAAAAAATAGATTTTTGTGAAATAGTAAATAGACTACAAATAT